AATTTATTAGAGCATAAGCTTTCGTGGACTATAGCCCACTGGGCTATAGTCCACGAAAGCTTATGCTCTAATAAATTTGTTAGTCTCTAAGGTGCCACAAGTCCTCCTGTTCTTCTTTTTGCGGATACAGACTAACACGGCTGCTACTCTGAAACCTTTCAGGATAAGAATTGGCCCATGTAGCATAACCTTTCTCTGCACTGCATTATCAGTGAGCTGCCAAGGTTCCTCCTCCAGGCTAAGTAAGCAACACTGTAGGTAGGAAAGAAAAGAGGCCTGATGAGGTAACACAGCAGCGAAGGGATTGAAGAGAGTTAAACAGGCACAGGGGAATATACTCAAGGTTGTCTTCTGCCCGTATGAGTAGGAGTTTCCATAAATTTCTGCAGGGTGCCAAAAAGGCCTTTCCTTATACATTGTCCTGTAAGGATACCCAGCTAAAAATATTCCCTGGACTTTATCACTTGTTAATTTATATGGTGCATCTGGAATTGAATGCCCAGTCCTGCAGCCCTACTCTGATACCGCTCCTGTTGAGATCACTGTAGGGATCTGCCTCCATTCAGACTGCTAAATTGGGGTTTGAAATCTCATCGGGGCTTGTCAAACGGAATCATTTCTGCTCATAAAATAGAATAAAAAGAAAAGAGCTGCTCGTCCCAGACTTTTGTCCTCCAGGCAAAATAGTCTTTAATAGAACAACAAATAACTCCTGGGCCATGCAGTGCTATTTCCACATGGTATGGCTTGTGTGCTGTGTTTCGTTCAGGAGGAGGAATCACAGGGAGACATTTTCCAGGAGCAAAGCCAACCTGGCAGTCTAGTGTGTAGCTGCCGCTACACAACCAGAGTTGGATGTTTGGTTACAGCTCAGGAAAAGGGCTGGTTTCTCATCAGTGTAAAGTGGGGTAGTGCCACTGACCAGAGTAAGGTTCTGTGATTGAACCTTGGTCACATGCCAGGCTTTAGCTTCGTTATGTGACCTGGTTACAGCATGGCTGGCTCCTGACACACTAGAGCTCTGATTGTGGAGCACATGACTCTGCTGTGGTAACACAGATGGCTCCCTATTACACTATTTATGTTTGTTAAAGTGAGGGGGGAAGGGAGATGTCAAGCAATATAGCCCCAAAACTTAGGCTTGGGCATTTTTTAAACCAAAAATGTAGCCTATAAAATCAACAGAAACACTTGTTATTGGGCACTTAGCTCAAGTGGTAGCAGACTCTGCTTTCGTACCTGGAGGAGCCGAGTTCCAGCCTGGCTGGTACTGCAAAGTGCCAGGAGTTCGTGGTGTGCAGTGTAGTGAAAACGAGGAAATTACAATACAAACATTTTGATACATGGTGCAAACAAAAATTGTGCAAGAGAACAGAATAGGACACCCCAGTACCTAATTTGGGGATAATTCTGTAGCACCCATTACTGTAGTTTCTAAGAAGTATGAAACCACATAATTTGGGGTCTGCACCCAAAAATCCCATTTATGAATAGGGGTCTACATAAATGGTGGAGAAATTACACAGTTTTCACGGGTTGGTCATAGCATAAATAGCAAATTTTGCGGATGTGTTTAGACATCAGCGTTTCTCAAACTGGAGGGCCTGACCCAAAAGGGGGTGTCAAGACTATTGTAGGGTGGGCATTAGAGCGGCAGCCACTGGCCAGGCACCCTGCTCTGAAGGTAGCGCCGCTGCCAACAGAAGCGCAGAGGTAAGGACGGCACCCTTCTGCGGTGCTACCAGCGGCAGCACTGCCTTCAGAGCTGGGTGCCCAGCCAGCAGCCACCGCTCTCCATCTGCCCACCTCTGAAGGCAGCACAGAAGGAAGGGTGGCAATACTGTCACCTTTCCCCCCAATAGATTTCACACAGGAGACCAGATTTCATGGTGCATGACACGTTTTTCACAGCCATGAATTTGGTAAGGCCCTTTTTATGAATCATATCTAGGAACCTCTGCGATCATCGAATACCTGCAGGGAAATGTATTAACTCTGTTTGGATGAGAGACGCTCCCTTTTCTCCCTCAAGGTGAAGTGAACACAACAAATTAAGTAGATGGGGATGATAGATGAACAAATACTCCTCGAAGGACAGGGATTCTGTTGCATTTGGATACCATCTTGTACCCGTTCACAGCAACCAAATGGAGATTGTACTACAGCAGCCTAAGGGATGTGCCTGGTGCATAGGAATTAATAAATGCGGTGCTTATGAAAGCAGTGATGCCGTGGGTGGAGCCCCACTTCGTGGAGGCTAACCCCCACTCCACCCTTCCCTTTGCCCCCCTCTGCAGCCAGAGCTCTGAGCCCCCCCCCCCCCCCCCAGCCAGAGGAGCCCCATGCCAGCCAGAGCCCTGAGGGCCCCCGCCCACCTGCTTAGAGGAGCCCCAGGCTGGCTAGAGCCGCCGCCGCAGACCCCAAGCTGCAAAGTCAAAAGCTCTTCTCTTCTTCTTTCTTCCAGAAGACGAACCTGAGCTTTTGCACTGCCCCATGCAGCTTCAGGGGCGGCTGAGAGGCAGTATGTGTTACTCAGCTTCCTGGGTTCGTCAGTCATCTCCCTGGAGTCCAGCGAGTTACTGATAAACCCAGGAAGCTGAGTAGCACAGCCTGTCTCCTCAGACGCCCCAGAACCTGCATGGGGCATAATAAAAAGCAAAAATTTCCCCACCAAACCTGCAACCAGGGTCTGGCGGCTGCAGCTGCACGAGGGGAGGCTGCGCCTATTAGACCTGCCGCTCATGAGTCCTGGCTTGGCTAGATCTGACCGTCACTCGCAGAGCACAGGAAGTCGCAGCACTGTACTGCTGGTCAGCATCCGGTTACTCCGCTGGACCCATTTCTGTCCTCCTCTTACACCCGGGAGGGACAGAGGCACAACTTGACTAAAAGCGCTGGGGCCCTTGGAACGACAGTGCAGGAGATCCGTAGGTCCATTGAGGGGGACAGCAACAGGAGAGCTGGGGAGGGACTTATTTTGCACTGCAAAAATGATTGCACTCTGCTGAGGCACCGTATAACACTCACCTACCAAATGTGTTTTGGTTGCTTGATCTCTCTGGGAAGCTCTTACGCACTTTAATGTGGTTTGGTCAAGGCCATGGCATCCCAGACACACTACTGATTTCCCTCCTCCTCCTCTCCTGTGTGATTATCCTCTAACGAGGGAGGACTGTACCTGATTCCCTGTCAGCCCATGAGCCCCTGTCTGTGGTCAAGGTCAATGGTCACCTTCCTCCATGGTTGAGCAAGTGGCATGTGTATGGGACAGGACTTTTGTCTCCCCCACATCACCGAGTGGAATTTGCTCCTCCTCTGTAAGTGTTGCGTCCCCTTCCGGAGAGCCTGGGTGAACAAGGCACCAGGAGGGTCAGGCCCGGCCCCTGGGGGAGCTATGGCCTGGGAGGTGGGAAAGGCAGAGGCGTAACAGAACATCTGGGAGTGAGCTCTGATTTCAGGCTCCTGCACTGATGCAGAGCCATGCACATTCCAGCTTCACAGGGTGTCTCCCAGCAACCCTGAAGATTAATGCTCTTGTTGCTTGTTAAAAACCTCAGAACCTGACGTAGCTATGGAGACACTAATGTCCTTCCCTTGCTCTTTTCCTCTAGGCAATACCATTGTGCTTGCTGGCTACTCCTGATTGGATTCCTGCTTGACCTAGCGGATGGAGCGGTTGCTAGGCAACTGAATGCTTGCTCAGCCCTGGGTAAGTTCCATCTTGTCGTCCTCTAGAAGCTCAAAATACCAGGCCTGTTGCTCAGGCTGTGAGACAGGCAGTGTCAATACACTTAATGAACAAACCAGACATAATAGGTCCACTCATCCTTGATGGGCAGGATAAATTGCACCCTAGGGATAAAATTGGCCCACGGGCTGTATTGCTACCCCACTACTGCACTTGTTGCAAATTGAAACACCCAAGCTCAGTAGCCATTAAACGTCGTGCCTCTCCTGGTAGCCAGTCAGCAGCAGCAGTTTTCTCCAGTAGTTCTCGTGAATGATGGCATTGCAGACAGGCCGCTAGGAAGCACTAAAACAATCATATCAGTTTGACCTGTAGATATGAAAAACACAGGTGGGGAGCAAATTTGGTGTGTGTGGGGGAAATAACATAGGCCTCGACCCTTGCCTCTGGACAGAGAGAGGAAACATACTGCATCCCTGTCCAGAGGCTGTGGAATGGAGGCCTCTGCTGCAGTGTTCCCCTTGACGCCACTTCCAGTGGGGATCCACATATGTGGATGGGTGCTCTCCATTCATCTTCCACCATCAGATTAACTGCAAAGAGCCCTTGCTTCTGGCTTGGCCCAAGATCTATGTGAAACTCTGGGAGTGGTGAGTTTTGCCGATGGGTGAGTTTAAAACCCTTCTAATTCTGCAGGGATGCAACTTCCCTGGATAACCTATACATGATCTGATGGGGAAACTGAGAGAAACCTCCCTTAGTTTTCTATTGCCACCTGTTTTTTTTCCCACCCAACTATTTGGGCCATAATATTGATTGCTATACATCAGCTCATGCAGCATGCTAGTGGGATAGTCTGCTTGGAGGCAGAGAGAAATTGTATATTAGATCCAAATTTCCAGTGCAGTCTGGCTTCATCTGTTGTCATCCTTCAGACCAGAGCGGTTCTGGTGTGGTGTGGTTCTAGGTTTTCCAGACCTGCTGTACCACAGGAATATGTGAATACAGAATCAGCCTTGCAAGGGCAGAGGGCTAAATACAATATTCAAAAGAGAAGTTCATGAGATGGACAGGGATCTGGGGCCCAGTGCTACATTTTTAGCCCACCCAAAGCCTCCACTACAGTCACTGGGGTCAGATTCACCATTGCCCTGCACTTGGGGGAGTCATCTACACAAGTGCAAAGTGAGTATAAACTCCCTCCCCCAAATCCGAATGGTGGCATTTCACACCTGTGTTGGACAGGTGTGAACGATTGCCCCAGGCCCAGAGCAACACCGAATGGGCCTTGGGAGTGCAAGGACTATACATCCAGGCCCCTGGACATTCCCGGGTTGTTTCTCTGTGATCGACTCTCTGTGCCCCATGTAGGATTGTTCCTGTGCATGTAGCCAGGGTAAGTCCATGTTTGGGACTGGAGCAGTTTGCTTAGAGTTGAGCTGGGACGCTGCCTCCATCTGAGCAGCTCGGTCTCTGGCCCTGCTGGCTCACTGTCTTCATAGGAAAAAGGCGTTGTGGTGCTCTCCAGGTCTTTTGTCTCTCAGTGACTCTAGATCAGGTGCGCTTGGTTTATAAGCAGCATTTTTCTAACTGGCAGCCCTGCAAGGTGCCCTTGGGAGCAGGAGTCAAGGTAGGTTGTACCATAAGGCTCGGGGAGTTAACGGTTCTGACGGTACGCAGGCCAGAACCGACTCTTGCTCCCTCTGCTGTAGCTTGGCTCTCCAGAGCCAATGGGAATAAAAACAACGACATTGATTTTAGTCAGTGAAGTTGGCAGATGAGGCTCTGATACACCCAGGGAGCATAGAAGAAGGGGCCAATTTTAAAAGAAAGGGTCTTCAGGGAAAATGAAGACAGAGTCCTAAAAACAGAGCTTGAACTCAGCTTGAACTCTTCTCTTGTAGACAGTAACTCTTTGGGGCTGGGTTTAATTGTCTAGTGCAGTAAAAGTATTTTGTGTCTTACAAAACAAGTAATTGCTACTAATAATAGTTTGGGCCCCCAAGACGAGACGAGTGAAGTAAAAGTAACTGCTCAGTGGGAGTAGAGGGTCCAGAGGTTTAAACTTACAATAAAAAAACCTAGACCTCTGTCTTAATACTCTTTTGGGGGAGGAAAGCAGGAACATAGGAAGACACCATACCAGCTCAGACCCCTGGTCCATCTAGTCCTGTATTCTGCCTCTGACATGCCCAGCCCCAGAACCAGATGCCACAGGAAGGTGCATGAACCCCCTTGGCTGGCAGATGTGGGCTAATTGAACTCCCGTGCGAATGTCTTGTTCTAACCCTATATAATTGGAGATCAGGTTAAGCCCTGCAGCATCAAGTTTTATATCTCCCCCTGCCAAAATTTCTTTTGTTAGCATTAGTCATTGTAATGCTGAATATTCTTGTTCTCGATCCTTCGTTGAATCTTACCAACTTCTTGGCCTCAACAACATCCTGGCAATGAGGTCCACAGGCTCTCTCTGGAAATGAGGCCCACTGTATATAGGATTTTCTTTTATCAGTTTTGAATTTGTCACATTTCAATGTCATTGAATGGTCCCTTGTTCTGGTGTTATGAAAGAGAGCTTCTGTTCTTGCTCTTCATTACCTTCTCCAGACCAATTCCTCTTCCTCCTTTCCTGCAGCACCTCCTGTCTCCCGTAACTCTAGACCCTGCTGGTGCTATTTATGCTCTGTCCTTCCCCATTGACTCAAACCCATCTTGTGGTGGCACCAATTCTGGTGTCTCATGCTCTGGGTGTGGTGTACTTCTGACTGTACTGTGCACCGTGACACTTGCACAAGTCAATGGGGAGCCTCCACTGGAATCTTGGCAAGTACAGGACGTGGGAGAAGCAGAGCACTGCCTTTCTCTTAGCCAGTACTTGGTTAGTGCTGGGTCTGTCCAACTGTCTGAATTGGCAGGATTAATTATCAATGGTGACTGCCTCCAGTACCTGGTAATCTCTGGAGTGTGGTGCTCTAGCTTGTCTTCAGGTGGGGCGGGTTTGTTCCAGGGCAGGAAAACAGGTTATGCCCTTGACAGTCCTCAGCTGGAGTATGCAGGAAAGTTCTTAAGCCAAAGGGCACCTACTCTTCATAGATTAATAGACTCCAAGACCAGACAGGACCATTGTGATCATCTGGTCTGACCTCCGGTATTACACAGGTTAGAAAAGTTACCTAAAATAATTCCTACAGCAGATATTTTAGAAAAACGCCCAATCTTGATTTTAAAATGGTCAGCGATGGAGAATCCACCACAATCCTTGGTAAATTGTTGCAGTGATTAATTACCCTCACTGTTAAAATTTTACACCTAATATCCAGCCTGAATTGTCTAGCTTCAGCTTCCAGCCACTGAATCGTGTTAGCCCTCTCTCTGCTAGATTGAAGAACCCATTATTAAATATTTGTTCCCTGTGTAGGTACTTACAGACTTGATCAAGACACCCCTTAACCTTCTCTTTGTTAAACTAAATAGATTGAGCTTCTTGAGTCTGTCACTAACAGGCAGGTTTTCTAATCCTTTAATCATTATTGTGGCTCTTCTTTGAGCCCTCTCCAATTTATCAACATCCTCTTTGAATTGTGGGAACCAGATCTGCACCCAGGATGCCAGCAACGGTCACACGAGTGCCAAATGCAGAGGTAAAATAACCTCTCTAGTCCTACTCCAGAATTTCCTGTTCATTACTCCTGGGGGAGTTCTGCGCCACTGCGCATGTGCATAATTTATGTCCCCTGCAGATTTCTTTGCTTCCCCACAGAAAAATGGCTTTCTGATGAGGAAGCAAAGGGAAACCACAAGAGCGGTCTACGACCCTCCCCAGCAGTATGTTTCGGGCAGCTGGCAGAGAAGTAAATCACTGTGGGGCGGAGGACAGGACTGCGGAAGACCTGGCTGGTAGCTCCCACTCTGTGCTAGGCTCAGCTGCTAGTTCCGGTTGGGCTGGGGAGGACGGGACTTCCTCTTCCCTTGCACGACATCCCGGGCCGTGTCAGACCCACCCCCAGATTTCTCCCCCGGCTGTAGGAACCTCTGCAAACTGGCCTCCCTCTCCCTCGCCCCCCCCCCCCCACCACGCTTCCTGCACCCATCACTCCTTAGCTGCCAGGGAAGAGATCACTGTACAGGGAGCTGCTCCCCCATCCCCCCTAGCTCCCCGTGTATCCAGACCCCCTCATACCAGACCCTCCTGCAGAGCCTCACCCCCCACACACTCACCCAGA